GAACCCAGTTTATACATGACATGCTACGCCAATACTGCGTGCGTTTTGGTCGGCGCTCTTGAAAGGAAATTTCCACTATAATAATTCGTTGAGAGCCTGCTTCTCATCACGATATCTTCTGGAAATGAATTTGAAATGCAATAGCATTTTTCTCCAGTGATCCTTTCCTATGCAGTTTTTCATGACGTTAAAGTAAAGCGAATTCAAAGATATTAAGTTCATGAATTCAATGGCTAATATGATGATGGCTAGATAGAAAGTATTCGTTTGGGAGTCGAATGATAAGATACAACTTGCAAGCACCACCCATAAGATCCAACGACTGAATAGATATTTGATTTCTATTTCGAAAAATTATGTATCGAACACGAGATTTCTGCCAACTGGCAAGTGTAGCAGGTATCCGTCGTAAAACTCTAGACAACACCAAAATACAATCAATGAAAAAAAAGAAATCAAATAACACTTGAAAAGACGATCCAAAAATTAGATGTAACCAACTTAAGATGTACATGTATCGACCAGCTAAGGTACATGGAACATATGCCTCTGTATTTACTCAACAAGAATAGTCGTCTTGTCATCATCAAAGTTCTCAGGTTGAAGGCTTGCTTATAGTCATGAAAATATTCTAGTTATCCCCAGATTGCCTTTTGGAAACATGTTCATCTGATACTTTGGGTACACGCTTCCTTTTGCTTCGGGAATTGCGTTTTCTTGTTGATCTTTTGGTCACACGTTTCTCTGGGTTCTCTGGGATGCTGATCACTTTTACATCAGAAGTTGGGAGTTCAGGAGGAGCATCTGGCCATGGCGTGTGTTTTGCTGGGATGGTTACATCCAATGGGGGGTCAATTACCCACCTGAATGAATCGGATAGTATCGACGAATCATTACATCTATAAATTATCATATAGAGAAGCGCATTTTCTATAGTAAATGCAATAATTTATAAATGCACATCATCATGGTCGTCTATATGATATATATAAACAGGCCAATAAATATATGTTGCACCACATGTTGATAAAATGCCCCGAT